GACCAGTCTCCGCCTTGCTCTGTGCCCCCAAGAGCACGAAGTCCAAGTCCGGAGCAACCAGCTTCCCTTGCGTAGAGTTTCCTGTTGGATCTGGAGAGTGGCGGACCCGCCAGAAACGAGGACAGGAGACAGGAGTTGGGATGCTGACCTCCCCCCAGGCATCCCTGCCCTCCTGCGAGTCTGATGGCTCTCCTGCCACTCCCTCAGGCCCTGGGGAGGTGACGGCGCACCACTTTCTCATTCCTGGGCCTGTGCTAGCCTGGGGCTGGTTCCCCAAACCCTACCCATACCTTGGTCTGCCATCCCTTCCTTCCATTCTTTTTTTATCCCTTTTAAGGGATATCCCATATCCCTTTTCCTGCTAGGACATGGATGTGGTACCCTCTGATCTTGCCCATTTGGGCCACAATAACTTTGGGTCAAATTAAATAATCTCTTCTTGACACTCATTTGCCCCCCTCTGCATGACTCTCTCTCTCTAGTTCATATTTCTATGACCAGAAATAATCATTCTTCCCTGAGCAGAAACGGAGGTCTCCTCTCTGCTCATCAATATTCAACCCTTGCAAACTTAATCTCAAATCGCCTCAAACACTCCGGAAATCGTGTAGTACAGAAATCACTGCTAAGAACCCAAGAGGACAGCAGGGGCACTTACAGTTCTGTAAATATTTAATGAGGATTTCTACTTTACAGTATGTTTTTAAACTTTTCATTTGGGCATAATTTCAAACTTATAAAACATTACATGAACAAAAATACAAAGAATATCCACACAGCCTTTGCCCACACTTCCCCACTAGTAACATTTCTCCACACTTGCTCATCACTGGTACCAGACAGACACACACACAATATATTTCTGGAGCCATCTGAGGGTAAGTTACACACATATATCAAGGCCCTTTACTCCTCAATACTTGAATGACTATTTCCCAAGAGCGGGGAAAATGTCTTAGACACCTACTATATACACAGTTGTCAAACCCAGGCAAATTAACATTAATACCTTTATCTAACCTGGAATTGATACCCAGATTTTGTCAAATGACCCAAAATTGTCTTTTACAGTACTTTCTTCCTTCAAGGTACAGCATCCATTGTGCGGTCAGGTATTGTATTTAATTGTCACGTACTATTAACTTCCTTTAATTTGGAACATCTCGCAGCCTATCCTTTCTGGGTGACATTACAATGTACTTTTACAATTTAAAAACCACAACAACATACATGGAAGGACTCCATTTCCAGCTATGACGGCGATGCAGCACATTGATCTTCCCACCAAGAATAAAAAGGCGGCAGAACTTAAACAAAAGCCATTAGAAGGTACCCGAGAGCCACCAGGTCACACAGGACTTAAGGACCAACACCTGTGATGTGAGCGGGCACGGCTTTCCACCCACCCCTCCCTGGGCATCTGCACACTCAAGCCGCAGAGGCAGAGGCGGCAGGGCTGAGCAGAGCGGTCCACGGTCTCATCGGGCTACGGGAATAACCACAGAGCACAGAGCCATCAGAAAGCCAAGGCCTGGGGTAGGTCATGATGCTGGAGCAGAGAAGCACAGAACAATGAGGTGCCGTCAGGGACCTTTCCCCCGTGCAGGCACCCAGCAATGTGCCAGCAGCACGGAGAGGCTGCGGAGGCGAGCAGAGCTGTAATCCACCTCGTGTAGCTAAGATGGAACTTTCTGGACATGGCAGTGTTTTGTTTAGGTTGTTGGATGGCAGTGGATTTGGGTCCGTGTTCTGCTGAGGTTTTGGTCCTTACCCTAAGAGCAAGGAGAAGCCACTGAAGACTTAGGCAGGGGAGCGACATAATCAGATTGGCTTGTTAAAAATCACTTGGGCTACAGTACGAAAAACAGACTGGGCAGTGGCAATGAGTGGACACTGCCAGGAGGCAGAAACGGGGGCAAAATGGTAGGGGCCTGGACTCAGGTGGTGGCAGGGCGGTGGGGGCACACTGACGGAGTCGGATGCACGCCCCAGGGGAAACGCACAGGGCTTGCTGGAGGACAGGTGGACAGTGAGCAGGAGAGGTGGGCGACAAGCAGGATCCTCGGTCGTCTCTAGTCTGGATGTGGGAACCTGAGGAGTCTCGGGCAGCCCAGTTTGGGGTGAAGAGGGGAGATGGGTATCATGAGTCACCTGGGAAAAGGTAAAAAACTGACCTGCTCTGAGGAAGTGAAACTCTGTCCTGTGATTTTTCAGGCTGGGATGACAGACACACGTGAAGCCAGCTGCCAAGTTAACAAGAAGTAATATTTCTCCCACGGGACACAACGCAACTGTAGAAGTGTCACCACTCCTTCTCCCAGTGACTGCGGGTTTCTTGTTCAGAGAAAGCCTGTCTGTCACTATCAGGAATGCTGCTTACACCAGTAAGAAGGAAACACCCCCCTCTCACCTGCAGGATCAAAACCACTGTGACCCAGAGCAGCAACCTTGCTCTCCAGCTAGCTAGAGTTCAAACAAGGGTTCCTAGCCACAGTGTTCCACATCCATGTGAACTCCGTAGTTTCCAAGGAAATAGGACCTGGGTCCACTGTAGGCAGACCTGATGCTGACCACTTCACACACAGCCCTGGTTTGCTTGAAGCCCATCAAAACACAGCTTCACTTGTACGTCACCCAAACGCCACCCTGCCCTGGATCCTACAGCAACTCTGTCCTTTCCTTTGTGGCAAGATGCCCACAGTTCCTCTGGTGTGTGGTCTCCCTCACTGCAATGAGCCAGTAAACCTGACCTGGTGAGACGATCAGGTCCTTCCTCATGGTCATAGACTGATTAAGCCAGGACAGACATTTAGAACTTGAAATGACTGCCAAACACGTGAGAGGAAAGACCACACAGCCGTTAGATGCAGGGCCCGTGCCTGGAGGAGAGGTCTGAGCAAGAGATGAATCCGGGAGCCGCTGGCACCGAGATGGGCAGTGGAGCCATGTGCGTGCAAGGCTGCCCGCAGAGAGGTCACGGCATGAGGGCAGAATGGGCCCAGGCCTGAGCCTCAAGGAACCCCACTGGCCGACAGGCTGCTGCAGAGGAGGGGGCATCAGCAAAGGAGACTGAGGAGACATGGGTCAGGAGACCAGCGAGGAAAAGATGATGGACGACATGGTCTGGGGACGGCCAGGGACTGTGGGGCAAGACATCCCAGAGCCTACCTTTGGTCACGCCATCACAGATTCCGGTGTGACCCTTAATTCCATAAGCACAGCTTGATTTGGGCAGAGGGCTGACCTCCAAAGATCAGCTCCTGCTGATCAGCTCCCGAGCCCCTTGATGCACTTTTCAGAATGCCAGTGTGCTGATTCACAGTGAGAGCCCCAGCCACCATCAGACCGACATACTTGCTCTGGTTGGCACTTTCCCTCCCTTAAGACAAATGCACTCAGGACGATGCTCACAAGGGGCTGGATGAGCGTGGCATCAGACTGGGGAGTTTAAGAAACCAATGACCTGCAGCTATGGTAACCAGCAACGTGGACGTATCTGGTAGGGTCCTGGTGGCAAACGCATCAACCCAAATGTTGAGACTTCATGGGAGAGCAAGGACAAGAGACCCAACAGGACGGTGAGGCACTCACGGACTGGCAACCGCTCTCGGCTGAAGGAATGAGGGGACGAAACAGTAGGAAACAGTGTCGCTGGAGGCCCGTGAGAGCAGAGAGCGCGGAGGAGGCCCCCAGTGAGAGTCACAGCTGTGGAGAGGGCAGGAAGAAACGCCCCAATCCCTCTCTCTGCCCACTGATGCCTTCCACTGGTGAGCCCTGCTGGCAGCCTGCACCAGTCCACAGGGCAGAGCAGAGCAGAGTGGGTCTGAGGATTCCAAAGAGAGAATGAACTGGGCAGGGAGCTATGGCAACGATGAGCATTCTCCCCTCTAACTGAACATGGCTGCCCCTGGACCAGACGTGTTTGCGCAAACCAGAAACTTGTCCTGGGAAGATACCTTCCGGTCTGGACTAGTGCTAGCAACACAGCCCAGGTCCCCGGGGTGCACCTGTCCTGAAGTGATGGGGAACAGTCACACGCATTTGGGGAGTTAACCTGAACCCCTGAAACTTGATCTAATTGTAACTCAGCCTCAATTAGGCAAGTGCTGAATCAATCCTGGAGTATCTCTAAGAATTTCAACAGGCTCCTAGAATGATCTGTGACACAACGGCTTGTCTCAAATCTCAAAACCTAAACAGCCAAGTCCCAGCAAGCGGGAACTTAAACCAGTGCTAGAAACTGACCCACCCACCAACCTGGAGACAGGTAAACACATATCCAGCCGTCTCTGCAGACACACTGCACTCCGTGGTAAGATCCTCAACTCCCACCCATAAGGACTTAATTTCTAGAGCAGATCTTTTTCAGTTACAAAAGTATAAAATCCTTCTGCCAAGGAAGACAGGTGGAAAGAAGAGAAGCTAGTACCAGGTACTTCAGAAGACTAGCACCCCTGCCTCCAAAATAAACCAAACATGTCCCAGTGTCTCACTCAAGCCTCTCCTCTTCTTACGTCTTACCTGACACCCCCCCCCCAAACATAAGGGCTACAACTGTACCTTGGAGCTTACTGGCAATTACCGTATTTTGCCGAGGATAATGCGCACTTTTTTGCCCAAATCTTTGAGGGAAAACTAAGGATGCGCATTATACACGGGTAGTACTAATCCCGTATCTATATAGATGTTTTTAGCTCTTTTATTTATGCTTATGATTGCGAGTGTAACCCTAGAAAGCAATAACAGTATGTGTATGCAAAAGAACACCCTGGAATATGGCAATTGATTTTCTTTCTAAATGTAAATAAATAAATGAATTAAAAAGTTAAAAGGTTCTTTTTCCTGACATTTTGGGCCAAAAACATGGGTGTGCATTACATACCCACGGGAGCACATTAAACTCGGCAAAATGCGGTACTTTTGTTTTGCGGGTCAAGTCAACATGCAGGAACAGACCGCTGTCACCAACAGCGGACTGCTCGAGGTGCAGTGAGACTCACTTTTCTCCACAACCTTTAATCTCTGGAAGGTCTCCAGCACTTCCCCGTTCAGTATTCTGGGTAAGAAGTCGCGTATTTGCATCACTTCCGTTGTCAGCCGCTCCAGGTCCTTCTTCCGGACTTGAACAAATTCTTCTTTCGTCCCCATGAGCTGAAACCAGAACAAGCAGATCTTCGGATTATTGAACTTCTCTCCAGCAGGCCGCCAGCTCGCTTCCTTGTAATGCCTCTTTTATGTTCCCAGCTTCAAGTTTATGTCTTCACCTAGTGTGCTCTCTGCTGTATGTATTACCTCTCGGAGCCGAGCCCCCAGCTTTCCGAGTGGGAGCTACCCCTTTAAGCGCATACGCGACCCTGTGCCTGAGAGTCAAAGAAAACGCCAGTAACGTTCTCTTAACGCTTCATGCCACGCTAATGGAGGGAACGATTCCTACTGCGCGGCCGACCAAGGCCGCCCACCTCCTTCAGAGATCACCGCCACCCTTCCAGGTTGTCTAAGTCGTAAATAGGAGGCTGGGTCACTTCCCCCAGTACCGCCATTAACAGCGGAGGGAACCGGCGTCTTCCTCCTACATCGCGTGCAGCGGAAGTGACGTCGGGGCAACTCCGAGCCTACGCTAAACGCAGACACCGCACGCATTACGGCCTCGCGGGCAGGGAGGGCTGCGGGTGTCTGAGAGGAACCACTACCATCTCCCGTTCACGCACCCACCGCCCAAGCGCGCAGCCTCCAGGACCCGCAACCACCGTGTCAGAGGCGGGGTCGCGCGGCCCGCACCCCAGGGCCAGGCCACGCTGTTCCCAGGTGCACTGGACGAGACCCACACAGACCGCGGCCCGGGGCGGGGGAGCAGATGGTGGCAGCTCAGATGGGGCAGGGGGCAGCGGCCCAGGGCCTCCTCACTAACCCCGAAGGCCTCCTCAGCGCCGCCTGCCTCGTCCATGGCCGTCGCGGCCGGCTCCCGCTCCGTGAGCCTGCGCGGTGGCGTGCCCTCTGACCTCTCACGCCAGAAAGTGCGGGAACGCGTCCCAGATGGGGTGGAGAGGGTATGGAGAGCGGCGAGGCTCAAACTTCATAGGGTTTGCGCAGCATTCTCTGCATTACTGAAGAGGGATGGGATCGGGCAGATTCCGCTTTGGCTCTTCTGGCGTAGCTGCGGCTTTAAAGTAGTTCACTGTAAAGTGGAAGAACAGTAAGGCCCAGGTGTAACTGACGAGTGAAATAAATAGAATCGGTCTTTCCTGTTTGGCGAGAGATGCTGGACTAAGGGGCAATGCGTTCAAGTGAATTGCCACCGGTGCAGCCAGCAGCTACGCTCCCGCGCTCGCTCTAAACTCCTTTAGCAAGGATGAAAACTTCGGATGCCAGGTTCCTCAGGAAGTGCGCCCGATACTGGAGCGTCCATCTAGCCAGCTGGTTATAACTGAGATGAGCACTGTAAGTTTGAAGACACCACCTAGTAGTCCATTCGCTTGCCCCATTAGGCCCACTGACTTCGCAAAATATGGTGCAGCCTATGGGTTCAGATGTACGGGGTCACTTCACAACTAAGATTTCGTCTGTTTCTGAAACCCCCAGGAAGCTGACACTACCAAGTCCCCAGAGTGGAGTGTGTGTGCTCTCCAGACCTGAGGGCGGTCTCCTGAGCACAGGCTCCAAATCCCTGCCCACCCCCACCCTGGAACCTGCCTGCACTTGCGGTTCCCCTGCCCCAGGGACCTGCCCTCAGCCCCAGCACCTGCTATCATCTGACCCTGGCCCTGCCCGCGCACCGGGAATTGCTCTTGCAGCGAGACCAAGACACTGGAAGACACTGGAGGCGCTGCCTGCAGTGGCCGCAGAAGCTTCTCAATGGGACTGCCCAAGGTATCCCTCCAAGAATCCGAAAGACAGCCCTTCTTCCCAGTGTCCACCTGCCAAGACGGTCCAAGAAGTTTAATACAAAAAAAAAACAAACTCGGTGCTGTGCGTTTTGTATAACAGCTGCCAACGAAATAGGTGAGAGAGAGAGAGAGAGAGAGAGAGAGAGAGAGAGAGAGTGTGTGTGTGTGTGTGTGTGTGTGTGAACTTAAAGATTCCAGGCCAAGAGTCAACCCTGGCTAGCCTCGCAAGGCGACAGCCCCCAGATCTGGCTGCCGAAAGACAGCGGAGGCGAGAAGGCGCAAAGCAACGGGTTGTTTCGCCAGGTGCCAGGGCACGCCGCTCTGGCTCCCAGAACGCGCCGCGAGCGGCAGCCGGCGCCTTCGTGACGCCATCATCCCGCGCTTCGCCACGCTCCTCTGCGCAGTTGCGGCCGGAGCGGCCAGGCGGCAGTCGCTCGGGAGCGGCGGGAGCTTGAGGGGTGGCGGGCTGCCGCCAGGGATGCTGCAGAGCGCCCCGCCATGCAGCCGGCGGAGATCCAGTTCGCGCAGCGGCTGGCGTCCCACGAGAAGGGCATCCGGGACCGGGCGGTGAAGAAGCTGCGCCAGTACATCAGCGTGAAGACTCAGAGGGAGACAGGTGGGCGCCCGGCGATCAGCCGCGCCACATGGCGGCGGGACCGGCGCCGAGCCGCCGGCGGGGCTCCGGCTCGCGCTCCTGCCCGCGCTCCTGCCGCGTGCTTCTGTGTGTTCGCGCTGTGGGAACCGCTTCCTGCTGGGTCTCGTCTGCTTTTACGTTTGCGGGACAGGCCGACAGGGGTTAGGTGGGCTGCTGCTGGAAGTCACAGCGAGTGAGGAAGCTGAGATTAGACCCCAGTCTGTCCAGCCGCGCGCCCGAACTTTAAATACTGGGCTCAGCCTGATCTGCCCTGCTGTGGTCATCGATTCACGCCGTCATCAGACCAGTGCCTTTAGGAGCTGGGGTTATTATGGGAGAGAAGACCATCCCTGCCCTAGAGGAACTCGTGCTCGCCAAGCTGGGAAGGGAGATCGCTGGAGCGGAGCTCGTATAGGGTTGTAACGGAAATGGAAATCGGGGAAGGAGGGAGCTTCTCTACGCAGGCTGAACTGGGCAGGCCGCCCTGAGGCGGTGTTCGACACATCTAAACAGAGGCGGGAGGAAGAGGGAGGCCGGCCAGCTTGAGGAATGGCTAGAAGAGACCTGGAGGTCAGGGAGGGGGAGGCGGGGTCACTCTGAGGGTTGCAGTTGGATTTTAACTGCAGTGGGTGCCATCGAAGGATTTTGTTCACCTGATGGAAAATGCCCTGTAGATCCTTTTGCCCCCACCCCCACCCCCGAGGTGTGCGCTACAATATGAAATGGAGGTTTTTCTATTGCACTAAGATAAAGTTTGGTTTATTTGCTAGTATATTCAGGGTCTACTTGAAAGAATAGATATTGTCTCCCCTGTACTGGCATTGTACAAGCCTGGAAGAGAAATCACAGGGGGGGGGGACAATTTTATGGGAAGTCTGCTAGAAAGAGGAATGAGGACCAAAATTCCTGACTTAATTTTGTGAGGCTCTCTCTGACGGACTTAATTTACTCATGGTTTCAGGTATCCCAGATATATTGAAGGCTCTTAAACTTAAATTTCTAGCCCAGGCCTTTGCTACTTCAGTTCAGCGATGCCCTACTAACCTGGCATCTCCACCTGGATGTCCCATAGGTGCCTCGGACTCAGACACCTTAAAGTGACTCATTTTCCTCTCCCCGAAACCTGTTCTCTTCCGCTGCCCATCCGCCACCTGTGCTCGCTGATTGTGTTCCCACTGTCCACTCAGACCAGCCGGGTGCATGGTATTGCCCTGGACTCCTCTCTGCCTCCCGCACCATGCATCCAATGTCCCTTGGTCCCATCGGTTTCATCTCCTGAAGGACTCTTTACTGGTCTTCGGTCCGTTGGCTTGAGCCCATCCTCCACGAACCAGCCCAGAGGCATCTTCCTAAAACACACCACCCCCTTCCTGGAGATCCAGGTCTGCAGATGGTCTCTCCTCCGCTCTCCCACCCCCTCCGCAGCGTGACTGCTTCGTGCTCCAGCAGCAGCAGCAGACCATGCCTGGGTCCTGGTGGCCAGCACCCCACCTCTCGCCTCTCTGCCTTTGCTTCTTCAGCGCACACCTAAAAAATTCCCACCCTCCATCCACTCCCGGTATTGAGTATCACTTTCCTCACCTCACCCCGACTCCTCTAGGATTCTGAAATACCCCGTTTATCTCTGTTGTAGCACTTAGCCACATTGCTTCTTAATTATCTGTTACTGTGTCTGTCACTCTTCCCCCGAAACACCAAAACATGGAAAGGTTCGTCTGTTTTCTTAGCTGCAAGTGGGGGCCCATCCAGGCACACATACAAGGGCCTGGCCGTGCACTAGAACAGAAGAGAGGCCAGGTGCAGTGCCTGGGGGGCTGAGAAAGAACCTGATGCTCACAGCCCTTTGGTGAGCAGGTCTGGGACCTGAGACGCTGAGGCAGGACCATGAGGCGGTCCTAAACCTAAATTTCGCATCAGCGCCCCAGAGTTTTGTCTGGTTGGCACCCATCGCACCCAGAGGCACTTGTCTGCTGCCTCTTGTTCCGTGCTGTGTCCCTGTCGCATGGAGCAGAGTGGGCCTTCGAACAACTAACCGCAAAGTGCATTTCGTAGACAGTGGTGATGGGGCAGAATAAAGAAGGTCTCTGCCACGACTGTGCTCCATTGAAGCAGATAGACAAGTGTGGAGATAATCCCCTAACGTTTGGATCTTACTGACAGGCTTTTTGCATCTTGTCTTGGCATGGTAAAGAGAACCTGAGACGTTACTCCTACAGATATGTAAACTCGCCACCAGCAGCATAGCTTTGTGATTTTAAGAACAGATTAGAAGTGTTCATACTGCTTAAGGCGACTAAAGGTTACCCTGGTGCTTTACTGGCTCGTGTTGTGTATTCCCGGCCACAGAGTGATGGCCGTCTGGGGTTTTGCCCAGGAGGGCTCGTTCGTCCTTCCTTACCTATTGTGGCTAGTAGGCAGGGAGTGCTGACTGTGTGCTTTTATTACTGTGTGCTCTATTCTCAGCACTGGTGATGCAGCTGCGAACAGAACAGACAAAAACCCCCTGCCTGTTGTATCAGTTCTGCAACTGCAGTTTGCATTCTTGCTTCCTTTTGGTGGCACAGACGGTAGCGGTGCACCTCCCAGGTGGTGGGTGTCAGATGTGCGCCGGGAACGGGGGAGATGAATGCTTCCCATACTTACTGAAAGTTTCAGGGGGGCTCTTGCCCCCAGGGCGGCAATGACTAGGAGCTACACCTGTTCCGAACAGGTGTGGGTTCGAGCATATCACTTCACCCCCACCTGAGACAGCTCCTGTGCTCGTGCGTGGTGAGGCGCGGGCTGTTGGGTTTTCTCGTCTCAGAGCTTGGTATTTCCTGCATCCACAGCTCACTCTCATTTCATCTCAGTTGTTTGAAACTAACTAAACCTGTGTTGTCGTCAGAAACTTAGTTGTATGAGGCATCTCAACAGGTCGAGAAGCAGTTGTGGAACAAAACCGCTTTGGATAGTTATTGGGTCGGACAAAATTAGTTCATTTGTTTTGTTTTGTTTTCCATGAGGTGGATCTAGTAGCACTTAGTTGTCTTTAACCTCATTCAAAAGAATTTTGTTAGATTGGATCGTGACAGCTGTCATATCAGCGTGCATTTAAAACAAAAACATCAAAATTGGTGAATTTTTGTATAGCCATTTTAATATTAAAGATGGAAGAAAATATGCAACATTTTTGGCATATTAGGCTTTATTATTTCAAGAAAGGTAAAAAGGCAACTGAAACACACACAAAAAGATCTGTGCAGTGTGTGGAGAAGGTCCTGGGACCGATCAAACGTGTCAGAAGTGGTGGGCGAGACTTCGTGCTGGAGATTTCTCATAGGATGATGCTCCAGGGTCGGGCAGACCATTTGAAGTAGACAGCAATCAAACTGAGACATTGAGAACAATGGATGTTCTACCACATGGGAGATAGCCGACATATTCAAAATATCCACAATAAAGTTATTGGTAAAAATGAAAAAAATGTTTCTTTTAGTTTATGGAAAACCTGTATGGACTTTTTGGCCAACCCAATACTTCACCTTCAGAGTTTTGAAAAAAAAAATTAAATAATGAACATTTCTCTGTTTTGCTTTAAATGCTCTAAAAATTGGTACCTTGTTTTTACCAGCTGATTTCCTGGGTGAAAACAAGTGGTTTTATACTTAGGCTGAAAATAGATATTTAAAGTGAAAGAAGAGCTTTATACTTATGTTGAAAACAGATATTGTAAATGAAAGGAGAGCTCCAGCAGCCTATGGGTGGGAAACGTGAGGCAGTCCTAATACCCCCAAATCGAACAGTGCTTTGTTCTTACAAAGTGCTTCTCATACTTGCTCTTAATTTTGGCCTGAATCATAAACATTATATACAGGGTCCAGCACAAATTACACTCCTTTTTTATTAAAAATCGTAAGCATGTAATTCTTTAACATAACAATATCACACTCAAGCACAGCCCTGTGACATTTTAGGTGAAATGTGCAAATTAAAACTATAAATTATTGCACCCATGTGATTGCCCTACCAACCACACTCAAGCAGGAGTTACTTCTCTCGGTCCCTGTATGTCCTGAGGAGGAAATGGGCCAGCTGACGGGCTAGAGGCAGCTCAGTAACACTGCAGTGCAACTGTAACATTGCACAGCTAGTAAGTAGCAAGCTGAGGCCTGACCAAGGGTTTGTTTCCATTGTACTACTTTGTTGCCTCTCGTAGTATGAAACAATCAAAACACGTTTGCTTGCTCTCCAGCTCCGTTTCCTGCCCACTGTCTAGGGTCTGTTTATCGCGGTTACTTTGTTGAAATCTGTTTTCAATTACAGAGACGTGTGGTACGTCATCTTGTACCTTCACCCATTGAAGGTACGGGTTGTCCAGAGAGACCGATTATCACTCAGAGTTCGTTTGAGATTCTGGTGCACTTGGAAGGGCCATCTGGAGACATACTGTGTTATTTTTAAGTGAACAGGGCCAGAGCACAGAATATGTAGAACATGTGATGCTATTTAGGTCTGTCACACATGCACAACTGTGCATTTTTGTATCACATGTCAGTGAATGCATAGGGAGGATCTGGAATGATACACATCAGTAGATAACAGTGGTCCCTCTGGGAGGAGACTGAGGTTTGGGAGGCAGTGAACAAAGCATCTATGATTGTATAACTTGTGGTATATGAATTTTTTGCAATGAAAATGTTTTTATTGGTTAGGATTCTCACGGTTGCAGTTCGACAAAACATCCGAGCCACCCTAGGTTTAAGGGGAGGAAACTGAAACAGCTTCATGCAAAGCTCAACTAAAGACACAGACCCAGTTTCCTCTGCAGCAAACTCTGCCACCCCCAGATTGGTTTCATTCTCAGGCTCCCCATCATGTGGCAAGGTGGCTGAGCGCAGGTCCAAACTGTGTCTTCTTTTAAGTCTACTAGGAGAGAACTGGAGATTTTCCCAAAGCCTGAGCAGGGAGGTCTTTATCAGCAGGGAGTCCATTCTTGAAGCGGCCCTGTGGCCAAAGGAATTCATGCTAGTTTGGCGTAAGCTCGGCGCCCTGCTTTGCCGCCCTGTGGAAGAGTCCAGCCCAGACTACTGCGTCCTTCCACAGGCCCTGCCTCAACAGTGGGCAGCCCTGGAGGGGAGAAGGTGCAGCTGCCCAGCAAGAACAAGGAATGCCCAGTGTCAAGCCCGATGCAGAAACCCGTGCCGTGTAAATCCAGTTCATCAGTGTTCGTGCTTTTCTAATTTTATTATAGCTTTCCAAAAAGAGGAAAGACAAGAGCCCACAGTAACACTTTGGTAATATACAGGCTTTTTGGGGGGTGTGGGGGGGGTCTTTTTATTAAGGAGTATTTCATATTCATAAAAAGTCTACTCGTTGGTCAGCTTCAGCATTTATCAGTACCTGGCCAGTTTGTCTGATCTGCCCACTTCTTCCTTCCCTCTAAATCCTTAAGCAAATCCCAGATTCCTCATATCATTTCCAGGTGTTGACGGGAGAGACCTGGTTCTTCTTGCTGACGCATGTAAAGAATTACAGATCAACACATCTAGTAGCATGTAATCAGTATATTAGTGGCTTACTTCCATGGAAGAGAACAGGACTGGGTGGAGTAGGGGGTGAAAGGGAAAGTTTCAGGGCCAAAGCAGGGTGAGAAAAGCAAGAGCAGCTGAAGACCAGGGTGGCAAGCCCCTGGGCAGCCTGAGGCCGGGTGGCCAGAGGCCCTGTGGCCCGAGAGCCAAGAGCCCCCTGAGCCCCAGGGGAGAGAGCGAGTCCTCTGTTCTCCAGACTTATATAGTTGGTGGGATAGGAGGGAAAGAGTTACATATTGATTAACGGGTAAATGTGGCGCCAGCTTTCCTGGGGGAAATGTGACTACCCAGATTCTTATCTTGCTCCAGACCCCATTTGGTCATCTTGTTGTAAAACAAATACCAGACAATTAATTAAAATTGAGGCACTTTCCAAAGTTATTTATGGGCTCTTTCTATAAGCATCAGGGACTCCCTCCTAAAATAGATAGTGACCAGAGGTAGGTAATTAACCAAAGTTATTTATGGGCTCTTTCTTTGGGTCCCGGACCCTCTCCCACATTCAGGCCTCGGGATGAAAGCACAGTTTCAGGGCTTTCTTTCTTGTTAATATAGTGTTTCTTGTGATATAGAAACACCTGGCAATGTTATCAGAACAGGCTTAGGGCTGCTGAGTTAGCATGTGAGACTTATCTCCTCCCTGCCTCGGTTTCTCTTTATTCTACCTAATTGGTAAAAGGCATTTCCTGGCAACCAGGGTGCTAAATGCTGGCCGGTGACAGCATTGCAGTCTCCGAGTTCTTCCTATGCTGTCTCCTGCTTCACAGGTACTCAGAATGTATCTCTAGAAGATAAGACTCTTTTTAACATAACCACAGTACCATCATCACACCCTTTTAAAAACATTCTTAATATGAAAAATTCAAGCTGTTGAATTTCTCCCATCATTTCATAATTTTTAAATGACAAATCAGAATTCAAGCAAGACTTATTACATTTGGTTGATATGTCTGTTGAGACTTAAATTCTAAAAGTTCTTATCCATCTTTTTTTTTTTTTCCATGCAGCTTATTTGTTGGAGAAACTGGGTCGTTTGTCCTGTAAAGCTTCCCACACTTAGGGCTTTGCTGTCTGCGTCTCAGGGTCTCACTGGGCATGCCTCTCTGTCCCCTGCATTGCCTGCAAACTGGTATTAGCATTCAGATCTGACGAGGTGTGGGTTAGTGTGGCGGAGGAAAAAACTTCCCTCTACCTTTCAGTGTTTGGCTGATCTAATAAGTAAATCAAAGTGACACAGATTAATGAGAAAGTGACCGAATTTTATGACACATGTATGTACACATGGGAACCCCCATGTGTATGAGAGACGAGAGAGTCAGACTCCCACAGACAGGAGAGGTTCAGAGACAACGTGAAGTGTGGGGGAATGTGACAGTCTGCGCTGGCGAGGAGGCGAGGCGCCTGGGCCTTCAGAGCGGAGGAGGGCCATTGCAGGACGATAAGAAAGGCAAGTGTCCAGTAGTTAGTAGTTTGTCCTGCCCTGTAGGTGGGTCCCAGAAGTGATTGCTGGTGATATTTAGTGAGCAAAGGCGCTGATACAACTTTGTTAAGGGAGAGGTAAGGGGTCCTCTCGAGGCTGCGGGGCCTGGGTTGCCTGCAGCTCAGAACAGTCACGTGGCACAGAGACACACCTCGGGCGACTCGCTCCGAGCCCCCACAGCAGCGTCCCCGTGTTTGTGGGGCGACTTAGCAGGTGGCGCTGCGCCTTCCCTGTCGCACCGCATCCAGCATCGAATGAATCGTCGCTGATCTTTGTGAATTGAGATGGACCAGTGGGCTTGTGTGGTGTTGGTCTGGTTTATCCATTTGAAAGTTTTGCGTAATTTTTAATCTAGTGTTTTAGCAGCCACCGGTGGTCCTCACCCGGGTCCACTGATTCCTTAGTCTTAGTCTTAACCCAAGTGAACGGAAGCACAGGCTCCTTCCCGCGCTGGACAAACGTTCTGTGGTTGGGAGCACGGCGGGCTCGGGCCTGGGGGGACTCATCCCTCCCTCGCACCGTAGCCGTGTTGTGTGGTCAATAGGCGGACCCTCCAGGGCGGCTTGTTTGTAACAAGAGGAGAGAAGAGTCAGTTGGCACATCATTTGCCCAACCTCTAAAGGAAGTGCGCTTTAATAAACTAATTTTACTATGGTTTCTGGTATATATATCAGAAAGAAAATGCACCATCACAAAATTGTTATAAGAAAACTTTTTAGTAACTTGGAAGTCAATACCCATAAAGGTAAAATTTCACTCAGAATGCACTAATTAAACTTTATTCAGTCGATCAAAAGGATATTTGTCACTTCTTAATTATCTCCTGGAGTATTGAAATCACATCGATTCCAAATATATCCTTGTTGCATTTACCTAGTCAGTCACAGTTTGTTGCTCCTAAAGACTTTTCTTTATAGCTGACGCTATATTAACAAAGACCACTTGTAAGATACGTTGAGACTTGAGGGTTTGGTTCATCCTCCACAGGCTCGGGAACTCCAAAAGTTTCCATTTTCCTGATTTTATGATTGCTTATGTCCCTCAGCAGTCATGCCGTGACACGTGGGGTTAACCCAGCAGGTAGAAGACTGCGCGTGCCTTGCGGCTTGGTCGTAGGTGGTACAGACAGGTAGAGGGCTTACATAACAAGAGCCAGGCTAAGCACGGTGGTGCCGGTTAAAACTAGACTGACGTTGCCCCGTACGTGAGAACCATAAACAGGAGCGGGGGACATCGGGGTACAGCCCAGGGTGACCTCCCTCACAGCAGGATCCTTAAGAGGGTTCTCTTAGCAAAAATACCCCAAAGCTTTGCCACTTTCTCTGGGGCCAGTTGTGTGAGACTTGAGCAAATCCTGCGTCTTTTGTAGGATTTACGTTTTTTACTTTGCATGACCAATGAAAATGTTGCTGTGCAGGGTGAAATGCCGGTTTAAGCAGAGCAGCACCTTGGGGAACTCATTTTCTGAATGAACACTCCATTAATTAATTTTTTTGTTGCCATGACATTTGCTTCCTTGCATTACTTGAGTAATGAGGACACGCCATCACTACCACTCTGCCTCCATAGCTGATTAAACTGCGTAATTAATACATGTTTGTTTTGTAACAACAGGAAAACATGTGCTTCAAACGAGAAGGCCCCTGCAGATGAAAATGTGTGGGGTGGTATTCTCACCGCTCCTGTGGCTGCTCTGTGCTTTAAGAAGGGAGATGGGAGGACTCTGAACTAAGATTTATGTGTTGTTTTGCCCTCTAGGAGGTTTCAGTCAAGAAGAACTCCTGAAAATATGGAAAGGACTCTTCTATTGCATGTGGGTGCAGGACGAGCCCCTCCTGCAGGTAACACGCACTTCCCTCCGCCCTGTCCCTGGGTCCTCGGCCTGCGGAGGCGGGAGAGACTGGCTGGGCCAGTCCCCTCCTGTGCCGCACCGAGAAGCACGGCTCCAGGGACTCCCTGTCACCTCCTGTCACATCGAAGGGGGTGCCCTGTCTAAGCATGGAGGTTAATTATCTTTTCAAATACCAAAGAATACACATACATTGAAGAGTTATGATTTCTCTGCCATAGTTTCATAGTTCTGTGGTAGGTTTTACATGACTTAAGGTTTTTGTGGGTTTTCTGTTATTTGTGGTCAAAAACGTCGATGTCGTAGCACTAGTCTAAGAACCTCTGAGCGGCCTGGACTCCAGGCTGGGTGTTGCTGCAGATTAAGTGGGTGCCGGGAACTGGACAGCCACCTCCCTGGGGTCAGGGTCTCCTCAGAGCCATTCGCAGGTGACAGCCCCAGGTGACAGCCCCACCGTTGAAGGCAGCGGGGGCCTGGCACAGAGGAGCATGTGACCTGGACCGCCTGCCGAGCGCACTGGGTGCCGCCTGCTTAGAAACATGACTTCCACTGAGGAGCTTTGTCACAATGTGCAAAGGCAAAGTGGAGGGACAAGCCTGGCAGGGCCCCCTGAAGCCCCTTGGTGGGTGAAACGTGCCGGGAAGCGTTCACCTGCCCGGGTTTTAAGGCGCAGCGTTGCCGCTTCGACTCCCTGAGCACGTTTTGAGCTGGACGGCACGGCAGAGTATTTTTAAGTTGCACTCAAAAGTAACAGCCAGCGTCTCTCGTGGAGGAGGGAAACGTGGCATCAGTAACAGAACGTCCCTTCTGAGTCCGGGAGTCCGTGGGAAATGGCCGAGGGAGACCTGAGGCCGGGTGAGGAGCGGGTGCTGTTCACGAGGCTCTGCCTTTTCTTGCGTCACCCAGCGGCAGAGCTCCTGCGGTGACACTCCCACAGTAGGTGTCCTCGTGGACCCAGGCGACCACATTCTCCCCGCAGACCGGCTTGCTGAGCGCCAGTGGCACTTTGCCCAGGACAGAGCCTAGGGAGGCAGTGTCCCCGGTGCTCCCGCCACCCCGCCACTGTCGCCTGTCCCTGCGCCAGCCGAGGAGGAGGCCGCTGGCTCCACTCAGCGAGCTTCCTGCAGTGGCAGTCCGGGGTCTCACTGCGGCAGCGCCTGCTTCTGGGGCATCTGTGCTTCTGTGGCTGGGGAATTGGGATAAGCATCTCTATTTAGGCTTTAATATGGTTTCAAAGCCAGGAATTGACAGCTAATTTAGTTCTTCTGTAGCTGATTTGAACAGATGGCTAGAGGCACTCTTTCAAACATGCAGCTTAAACAAATCTCAGAGGCATAGCACATGGGCACAGCAGTCCTGTGAAATGGGGGGTGTCGCATTTATATGAATGTCGATAAAATCCACCTGCACACTCCTTAGTGAGAGTGACATTGAAAACAGTGGTACAGGCTCGCCCACCCACCCAGCAGGTGCAGGAGGGGGTGCTGGCTGTACGCTGTCATCTCAGTGCGGCCCCGTGGTAACCCCCATGTCTTCCGCACCCACCTTTGCAGGAGGAGCTAGCCAACACGATCTCCCAGCTCATCCACGCCGTTCACAACCCAGAGGCCCGTAAGTCCTGATGTTTTCGTGACTTTCCAAACTTCCTTGTTTTTCAGATTTGGGGACCTGCCTAGGATGTCTAGTCCGTATTATTTCTTCGCCTTTTTTCCAAGTGTCCACCTCTGAGTGGTGGAGTTTAACGTGAACCCAGGTTGCCAGTGTGGGGGTGTCAGGTGACACACTTTCCCATGGGCGGAAACTGTGGTCAGCTTGGGTATTGACTCAGATGCGGGGGATGGGTTTCTCGTGGACCACCACACTGGCCATCTCAGAGAGACCCACAAATGTTTTAAATCATAATCCTCCAGAATCCCCAAATTCTGAGTCACTTTAACACGTCTGGGAGCTCTCTCTGCATATGCCAGTGTGTGCAGTGACCTCCGAGTGCCAGGTTTATCCTCAAACTGGGGCCATTCAAGGTTGTCAGGGGTAATAACCTGTAAAGTAACCCCCCCTTTATCAAAAAGAGTAAACAAAAGGAGACATTTTTTCTGGGACATTCAGGGTTTGATGACTTGCAGAGGACAACAGAGACAGCAGAGTGAGTTCGTTCTGGTCACCACTCCAGAGGACAGAACACCCCAGTGGCCTTCCTGACCCTCCGTGGTTCTCTGAACTCTGACCTCTCAGCGAGGTGTCATGAACAAAATTCTGCACGGGGAGTATAGTATAGGTTTTCACCTATCAAGAAAGCTTTGTGCACAAAGAAGCAAAACAAGAAAAATCAAAAATTTTTCTGGACAAAACAGTGCTAGTTTCGTGGCTCAGAAGGGAAATTAGAATGTTTTATTGTGTAGCTCTCCCAGCCGACACTGAACATGAAACAAATGCCGCGTGTCCACCTGGGTCATCCACGTGTCCATCCAACTGACCAGCTTTGGATCGTTTGCTGTCGGCAGATGGAAAAGACCACTAGGCATGGCTCCAAAGATCTTTTGATTTAGAAACATGGCTTTCCGTGAATAAAGAAAAACATCCCAGAGAGCATTCTAGTTGGGCATTAAGATATCACCAGTCTTGCCCTGGCCAGTGTAGCTCATTTGGTTGGGGCATCTTTCCACAAACCAAAGGGTTGCGGGTTCAATCCCTGGTCAGGGTGCATGCTAGGTGCATGCATGCTAGGTTGCGGGTTTAGTCCCCAGTCCGGGTGTGTGCGAGAGGCAACCAGTTGATGTTTCTCTCATATCCATGTCTCCTCCGCCCGTCTCTAAAATCAATAAGCATGTCCTTGGGTGAGGATTAAAAAAAAATTATTTTTTTTTTTTCAAAAGAGATTACCTGCCTTCCTGTACTGTAATGTGCTTTTACTTAAATGTAATGAAATTATCAAGGGTGTTTAATGATTGGCCAAATTTTCTAGCAACCCAAGAATTCTTGAGATAGGAAATCACGAGTGGTCCTGGTTGGGGTCTCGTTGCTTTCGTGCTGCGTGGCCCCGTGTGGACCCGAAAGCCGAGCGTTCAGAGCCTCTTGCCCCCTGCAGAGCACCTGTTCGTCCAGACCTTCTGGCAGACCATGAACCGCGAGTGGACGGGCATCGACAGGCTGCGCCTGGACAAGTTCTACACGGTGAGACCGGCGGGCCCGCGTCGCGGCCACTGCGGAGGCTCGTGTGAGGGACGGAGAACGCCCAGCACCTTAAGGGCAGGGGGGGGATGGTTTGTGAAGCAGAGTAAGTTCCAGGCTTGCTTGCGGAGATGGCAGGACCGTGTGAACGTTCAACGGCCTTGAACCTGTGTGCAGGGGCCTCTGTCTTGTCCCTTTTGGCTGTTGGGGGTGGGTCGGGGGTCTTCAGTTAACCTCGTACGCTCCAGAAGTTGAGCCGATTACTGCGGCGGTTTCATTTGGGGATCCTCCGGGCCCCACCTCAGTCGCTGGCCTCGTCCCGCTGAGCCGACCGGCGTTCTCACACACGTTGTCTGTCTTTAGCTGATCCGCCTGGTCCTGAGAGAGTCCTTCGAAGCTCTGAAGCGGACCGGCTGGGAAGAAAGGTCAGTGCACTGTCTGGGTCGCCATGCGGTGGCCTGAAAACCTTTAAAGGAGTGTGTCTTTGAGCCCTTCGGTTAACCAGCAAGAGTGAGTTGCCCAGTCTGGGTCTTCCACTCTGCCAAGTGCCGAGAAAGGCAAAATCCCCTTTTTTTTGCGGAAAGGACCTAAAACCCAGCAGAGCGAAATAAAAGGGTCGAGTGCACATGCCAGTCCGCTTTTTGTACTGATTTCAGTCGTCGTGTTTTCCCTTGTAAAACTCTCTGAGCCTCGCGTGGAGACAGAAGGCCACGTCTTCTGGGGGGATGGGGGGATGGCAGGGGCTGTGTTAACAGTCCTGTGTCCCGTGTGTTTTCTTTAGCCGGGTCAAGCTTTTCCTCAATGTCTTGATGAAGGAAGTCTTGCACCCCGAGAGTCAGTCTCCCGATGCAGTGAAATTCCACTTCATTGACATCTATCTGGACGAACTGTCCAAAGTAGGAGGGAGAGAGGTAAGAAACAGCCCGACACCTGCCCACAGAGCCCACAGCTAACCCGACCGGGGCTCTGGCCGTCCGTCCGCTGCTCCTGGGAGCCGGTGGGGGGCGGGGGGGGGGGACAGAGGGCTGGAAAGGAAACATTCTTCAGCATGTAAGAGGTTACCTGGATTTGGGATTGTGAGCAATTTTTACTTTTTTCTTTTTCACAAGCATTCTGCCGTGCACAGGGATTTCTTTTTATTAAAGAAAGTGTGTATCTTTTTAAAAAAAATAATCCCTCACCGCAGCCTCTGACGGTATTTACACAGAGCTGCGCCATGGAGGAGGTAGCAGGGACCAGCACTGACTGCACTGGGTGGCGCGCTCCTGGCGCCGGCGCCCGGGCAGCCCGCACAGCCCGCACAGCCCGCACGCTGTGCATTTGGGCGTCGTCAGTGTCACTCAGTCCTATTCGGCCTGCGAGAAAAAATAGGTGGTTCGTTTTCCAAAGACACATCGGAAAGGAGAAAAGATTCTTTTTTCCTTTATTTTCATTTCTTTTTGCCTATTTTATTTCTAAATTACAGCTTTTGGCAGATCAGAATCTCAAGTTTATTGATCCATTCTGCAAAATTGCTGCCAAGACTAAGGAGTAAGTGATGCACATGTGTTTCGTTCCTGCAGTTGGTGCTGAATTGGTGGGGGGGGGGATTGTTTTTTGTCGGGAAGCACGACGCGAGGTAGCCAGGGTGGCTGTCCAAAGCTAAGAACAGCCGAATGCGTAATTCCCCATAGAACAACGTTTGAAGCTTTGAGTCATAATTCAGCTCTTCTGGCTTTGCGGTTTGACCCAGTCATTCCAAGAATCACACCCTCCGCCCCCCAGAGTTCAGTCTGCTGTCTGTCCGTCCCACCGCTGCCAGCACAGAGACCCCGGCTGGCTCCCTGCAGCCACGGTTGGTTAGCCCAGAAGCGTATGCAAAAATACAAGTGCTTTCTGAGCGGCCGATCGGTCGTGCCGGGTCCTGGGCAGGCTGAAACCGGAGGCTCAGCGACTCCTCCTCTCGTCATTCTGTCCTCCTCCAGAAGCGAGGTCCAGACCGCTGGTTTTAATCACGTGCTCTTTGCTGTGCTTCCCCCTCAGCCATGCACTGGTGCAGACTATAGCTAGGGGTGTTTTTGAAGTCATTGTAGATCAGTCCCCTTTTGTGCCTGAAGCGGCAATGGAGGAACTGCCGACCAAAGTGGGCGGCAGCCACCGCTCCGAAGACGAGAGAGCCGGGAACGAGGTGGCGTGGAGGAAAACACTCAGTAAAAAGAAGACAGGTGAGAGAATTTCCTTGAGTGGTCTTTCTCTTTTTTAGGTGAAGTCCCCACCAAACACACACTTTTTAGTGCAACGGTCGGGGTCTCACCGCCTCCGTCCCAGAACTCGTCGGGTGCCGTGGACCCCACCTGAGACAGGAAGCGGGTGCATGTTGCAAACCCCCGTGCCCGTTCTGGGGGAGACCCTGCGCCTCACACGCAGTTCTGTTACCTCCCAGGACGGAGGGCCGTTCTCTGAGGGTTTTCCCGTTGTTGCTGCTGTTGCTTCGGGTGGTGTTTGTTTTTGTTGTCTTGGCTTTTTGGTTGAATTTAAACTCCCTAATGTGGGCTGGAATCTGCAGAGGGTCCTGGAGGGGAGACCCCCCCGTGCAGCTCCGTTGTGAGTGCGCACGGGTTTCTGTGGCCTTTCCGGTCCCCGAGTTCCCTCGGCTTCCTTGTCCTGGGGCGTTTCAGTGCCAGCCGTGAGCTCTCACCGTTCTCACCACTGCGGTGTCCCTGCGGTCGCGTAGAGAGTGTGCGTTCAAGTCGTGGCCCATCAGCTCTGACAGTGGGTCACAGCATCTCGGGGTGCAGCGGCGGAAAGTGGTCGGGGCGTACCTGCACTTTCGAGATGTTATGAAGCCATTGAAAAGCAAAGTTTTCAAAAACCAAAGACCACAGGAAATTGAATGTTTTTGTAAGCAGGACACAAAACTCAATGTAGGAAGACCCTGATTTCCTTATTTTAATCCTCACCCAAGGATATGTTCTTACTGATTTCAGAGACAGAGAGAGACACAGGGAGAGAGAGGGAGGGAGGGAAACACTAATCAGTTGCCTCCTGTACACACCCCAGCTGGGGATCGAACCCACAACCTAGGTATGTGCCCTGACTGGGCATCGAACCTGCAGCCTTTTGGTGCAGAGGACGATGATCCAACTAAGTGAGCCACCCAGCCCGGGCTGATTTAACAGTTACGTGTGCCTTAAATAATCCTGGAGGATGTAATAGTTAGCCCTACATGGCAGAGTTGTGAGGCTTCTGTTTGTTTTGTACTTTTGTCCATTTTCCTAAATTTTCTACATTGATCATATATTATTTTTTAATCAGGAAAAAACAAAAAGGGAAAGAAGAAACATTTTAATTTTAAATTCCCCAGAGGTGACAGGTTAACTAAAAACCCCGAGCACGCTCTGCGTGCTCGTGGCTGCTGCCTCCCCGCCTCCCACGTGTCTGTCTGAACCGGGGGTGGCCCCCTCTTCAGGAGCGCCTGCAGTGCAGGCGCCGTCCTGTCCTCCGTCTGCCCTGAGCCCCCACCACTGACACACCCCTATGACTCCCAACCAGTACAAGTTCGAAAAGCTGAGTTGTCAGGAATTCTTCGAATTATCCATTTAATGATAAGTTTTGCTTCGCTGCATCGTGTTTCCTGAGGCAGCCCCGTGACCTTAGTGTACCACGGCGCAGCTTCTGTCTACCTCCCACACCTGCCTGAAGTTGGGCACGGGCTCCTGAGTCTGCTCTCCACCCCCCTCACTGGCCAGAGCCCCCGTGCCTGAGCCCCTGGCCAGGGGCCACCGCCCCCTGCCGCTGTCTGGTGGGCAGGCCGTGCGTGCTGGCTGCACGGAAGGCCACGGAGGCCTGTCCGGAATGGCCTGAAAAGACAGAATTTGTGATCGCTCCCAGAGGTGTGTCCATGTCCAGGGGCTGGAAAACCGAAACATCTTCGGGGAATTACAAATGTATTTGCAGGGGTTTTCTCTTTAAAGAAATTGTCATTTTGACTCAGAGACGCCTAATTAGACGGTGATTCCTTCGGAAAGAGTCATTGCTGAGTAATGGAAGAATTTTGTCTTTGGCTATGTTTTGATAGCACTGGGCAAATACCACTCCAGGAAGGACGGACTCAGTGATGACGGTGAGGGAGACGATGGTGGCAGCGTGGAGGACACGGGGCCGCTTCTCCAGGTTGGTGGCAGCTGTCGCTTGTCATAGAGGGTAGAGCTGCTGTGGAGTGGCCTGACTAATTGGGAATTAGGGTCGGAGCTAATGAAACTCTGAGGCCTAACGTGTAAAGTCCTCTTCATCCCTCCATTCACTGAGGTCAGCTTCTTCATAATGAGCTTACCGGAGACAAATTTAAACGTGATGGGTTTCGAAAGATGTCAGCCTTCATGTTGGCTTGAATGGCTAAGATCTGTTCTGTTCCATGCAGCAAAGTCAGCTCACTAGCGCTTTTCAAAGTTGACTATGTTACCAAGTGCAAATTAGAAGGGAAAGAAGAACTACAGCTAGCGTCTTCCGAGAAGAAATAGAACAGATGTTTCAAAGGTCTTCTTTAAGCCCTCGGTCGCCAGGTCTGAGCGCAGGCCGGTCCAGGCGGGCCTCTGGGAGAGCTTCCCAAGTCCCCCACGGGGCTGCGTGCTCTGTCGCTGGTGCGTGTGCGTTTCCGAGTCGGGTTTCTGCGGTTTATGTCAGCTCCTCTTCTCTCGCAGTTTGACTATAAGGCCGTTGCTGCCCGACTCCTGGAGATGACCCACAGGAAAAACATCCCTCCCTTCAACCGGAAACGTCTCTCCAGGCTAATCAGGAAGTACGTATCGATCGAGAGGATGTCGCTTGATTCTCATTCACGTTCACGTCCAGCCCTTCCATTTCTCTCACGGTGTAGGACACGCTGTCAGCACTCACCTTTTTATTTATAGCGCATGCACACACACACACACACACACACACCTGTAAACAGTGATGTTCGGTGACGACAGCTGCCCACCTGCCCCCCACCCGTCCCAGTGCCCCCGTCACACGCAGCCACACTCGTCTCTCGTGGCCGTTTCACGGTGGTGTGAGGAGAAGCCCGCTGGTGACGTCTGAGATGAGCAGACTGGGAAACTGCACGCAAAGGTGCCGCTGCGGTGGTCACCCATTGGTGCGCTGTCGACAGGGTGGGGAGGGGCGGGGCTTTGCACCCAGTCCCCCGCTTCTCCCCATGGTTATTTATGCTGAGGTTGTCGTCGATGTCGTTACGGCTGTACCAGTAATTCACTGCAGAGCCGGGCGACGTGTTACGATCGGTGACATACACCAGCTGAGTCTGATGGCGCCCCGTGTCAGCAGGCACTGTTCTGGGCACTTAAGTTAGTTCGTGTTGAGAAAAGCCCTGTCAGAGGGCTTCTGTAAACTTCCCGCTCAACCTGTAGGTTAACTCAGGCACAGGGGCATCGCTGCCATTGCCCAACGGCCCGAAGTCGTAGCTGCCAGACTCGGGGCAGGAGCACACCTCTGCCCCCTGGCCGGGGGCTCCGCCCCGGATCCACGCAGCCCTGCACGCGTCCTTTGTGTTCCCACGAACCGAAGTCTCGCGGGCCAGACGCTACTTGGCATCCCTCCACTTGGTGAGCCGAGAGGAGGGCGGCGTAGGGGCAGAGGCCTGAGCCGTTCCGGCCGTAAGGAGCAGGAAGGACAGCCGAGAGCGGGCTCGGCCTTCGCTTTTGGCCTTTGCGCCACACCGCCTCCTTGGCCTCCCCTCCTGGAGGAAATCTGTCTCACAGACACACATTGCTTCAAGTTCTGTGCCTGTGTTCACTGAAGACAGAAAGAAGGGATTTCTTCATGAACTTCTATTGTTTTCTTTTTCAGATTCCAAGATCTCTCTGAAGGTGAGGAAGTCAGAGGATTGGAACTGGTGTTCTCGCCTAAATACGGGCCTTTCCAAGCGCATTTGTGCCAAGTAGTACAACGCAAGATTGAAAACATGAGAAATGGCAGAGACCTTGACCTTCCAGAGGTCGTCAGCTACACCCCGTGCAGGCACAGCTGAGAGAAGCCCTTGGAAAAACCAGTGTGGGGCTTTTTAAAGTCTTGCCCACCCACTCTCCCGTCCCGGGGGCCAAGCTGAGCCAGACACAAGGGCCACCAGACAAGGGGTACCCCCAGAGGGCACTGGGGATGGGGGCAGTTATTTCAGCAAGGAGGGTTTCCGTTGGTCCCCCAAGTTTCAGTTCGACCCTTTATGAAGAACAGTTGGTCTCTCAGGAGCCCAGAATTTTGTTGACTACTAAGACCACTTGTCCTGTGGGGAAAGTTGCTTTCTGTAAACTTCATTGCATTTGAGCAAATCGGTGGTGTCCCTGGGACCCCAGGGGTGCTGAGAACTAGGGTGCGCAGACCTGGTGGAGACAGCACAGCCGAGCCCTGGGGCTGAGCTGGAGACTGCCGTCACCCCAGGTTTGCAGTCCCCAGCCTTGAGGGAGGAAGCCACAGAGTTGTTTGAGGTCTGGAGTTCCTGTGTGCAGTAGCTCTGAGGGTTGGACTGGAGACATAGTGAGGGGCGATGATAAAGAGGCAGAAACCGAGGTTAAAAATCTGCCTGCGTGGCGTGGGGAGGGGACGGGGCGCTTAGGCCCCCAGGGGCGGCTGCAGGAGTCTCGGAGAGCTGACTCACTGTGACTTCGGTGCCCAGCAGGTGGGATACCTCAACTCGGTTTTGCTGAGGACGTTTCTACCGATGAAGATGACCACGCCTTCAGTCAAGGAAGGCCTAAGAAAAAGGGAAATAAACTTCTGGAGAAACCGGACACGGAAAAGGGGACAGGTGAGGGAAAGGCGCGAGGCCTGCGAGGCCTGAGGAGACGGGGCGGGCAGCCCTCAGGGGCAGCGGGCGCCCTTGCAGCGACCTCTGGCCACTGTCTCCGTACATCATTACAGAGCGAAAGCTTTGCTTGTATGGCTGCAAGGTTGTTTCCACGTGTTTGGTTTCTCTGGGGCGCCCGCACTCCCTGAACGAAAAGCATTTGTTCACTCCTGGCGGCGGCACCTGTGGAGAAAGTGCCGCGGACGTGGAGGTGCTAGGAACACGCCACCCTGTGAAGCGTTTGTTTTATCACCACCCAGGTCTGCGGCCTCTACCTTTGGCCTGAAAATTAGTAGAAATCTGAACATGTTTCAGTTCCATCTACACTGAAAGAGGCATTAGGAAGGTTTCTGACCACAGCGGGGAAGGGGACGGGATGGGGCCAAAGGAGAGAACTAGAGCTCAGGTGTGCCGAGGATCAGGGCCACTCCTCGCGCGGCCGCAGAATCCCCCACGACACCTGCTGTCCGCTTGGTATTGGGGCACCTGCTTATTGACTTGTGTGTCCTTCTAGGAAACGAGTTCTTCGTGGCTGAGGGAGAAGAGAGGAAAGGCGGTGTTCAGAAGAGGAAAAGGAAAAAGAAGAAGAACCAGCTTCAGCTCGAACACCTAGGGTCCAGGGACGCAGCCACGCCCGCCCAGCAGAGTGGGGGCAGTGAGGCCGAGGCAGGTCCGGGAAGAGCACAGAAGCAGGGTGTGCTTGAGCTGGGGGCAGGGGCTGCGCCCGGCCCCCAGGAGCAGAGCGGCTCAGAGTGCCCCCCCTCGCACCCTCCCACACGCAGCAGGAGGAAACGAGCGAGGAAGAGGAACCCACAGTTCCAAGGGCTGACCTCGGAGTCAGCAGCGTCACCTTCGGAGGACTTGTGTCAAGGTGGCCTCAGCAATGGTCACGGTCAGGCGCTTGCCCCCCAAGCGTCCCCTGCCGGTGGAGCCCCAGCCCCTAAGAGGAAGCGGAAACTCAGGGCCCCCTGGGCCAACGGTAGCCCCTCCACGCCGGCCTGGCCCCCACCGCAGGAGGAGGGCCCTGCGGCAAGCCCAGCAGACGGAGAGCGTTGCCCAGCCTCCCTGCCCCAGGCTGGGAGGCTAAAGAAAAAGAAGGGGGAGCCCGGCCGCCTTGACCTCTACAACCCATGCACGCAGAAGACAGCCATCTTCAAAAAGAGGAAGAAGATGAAAGAGATGTTGAACTTGGTGGAACACAGCAGAGCATTGGAATCCGAACTCAAGCTCGTCCGGACTCTGGTAAGGTGACTGGGCGCCAGTAAGGGTGGCCAAGGTTCTGGTGCCAAAGATCAGGGGTTCTTGCCTCCTCGGGCCCCAGTTTAGGGGGGAGGGGGGACAGATCAGACCTTTGGGCTAAGGAGCTGTCGTGGTTCCTAACACCCTCTACCAGTGCGTGAAGAACTGTGACCGAGACTCGGTGGCATGCAAGACAGTTGTCATGCTGCTCCGTTCCCTCCCCACCCCCACCCAGCTGCTCGCTCCAAGGGGCTGTGGAAGGGCCACATCCAGCTGGGACAGTTGTCCCCGTGGCCCAGGCAGGCACACTGCACTGCTGTGTCAACAGACAGACCATCAAACGCTTGAGTGTCCCATCAAACGCTGGTCTTGATTTTCTTCAACTCACGGCCAGTCCTGGGCCCAGAGTTCTGTGTGGCTTGTCTTTTCAATGAGAAGACTTTCGTCCCACCTGGATCTCTAGAGCCACATGTGAGCGAGAGCCAGCCAGGCTCTGGGCCTGCTTGTCACCCCTCACTCTGGACACACGGTGCACCTGTGCCAGCGGTGGGCACCTGGTCACGTGCCGCTTTCACTCAGCGGCAGAGACGAGTAGTTGTGACAGACACCCTATGGCCCTCGAAGCCGAAACCACCTCCTCCCCGGCCCTCCGCGAGCAGCTCGCTGCCCCTGCCCAGTGCTCGGTTTGCGCACGCCGCTGTGCCGTGGTTGCGGTGACCAGGCCTCTCCAGCAGGGTGAGCGTGAATGAGTGAGTCTCTGGTCAGTAGAAGTCCCCGCTGGGAAAACAGAGCACTCACCTGGGCTACAGGAGTCTGCTGTCACCTGGACCTTCCCCTGCTGAGCTGTGGCACCTTTTCTGGGCTCTGCAGCCTCCGCCCACCCCTCACCATTCACTCAGTGCTCAGTTCACGAAGAATGTCAGAGAAAATTCCTTCTTCACGTCTCATTTCTCAGGCCCCTGCACCCTCTCAGAGAGAATTGGGACAGTCGAAAAATAAGCAACAGGGTTATCGGCGGTTTTTCCTCCCGAAGGGGGCACCGTGTCTCTGCGTCTCTGGTGGCAGGAGTGGGGCAGCACAAGAGGGAGGACCCCTGGGTGTGCCCCTCGTGGGTTCTGCTCAGGGAAGGTAGCCAACTTCCCAGCCAGGGGCACCAGAGACCGGCCAAGGGCACCAGAGTGACGTCGACCACACTGCGTTTCCCAGACTCCTGGGGTCCCAGAACTCGAGCGGGGTCTCTGGGCGGGCGGTGGTCCGGTGTAGAGCGCCCAGTGGACATTCGTGGCCTGCCTGAAGCGGACCTACGGGACCTAAGCCGGAGGCCACGCCCACACTTCTATGCCAGGGTTTCTGTGTATGATCGTGTCTCTGATCAGAAATGAAAAACTGAGTTACTTAGTAAGTCACGTGCTGCATAAGGACAGTCACCAGCAGACGGTCTGTACAACAGTGGCCCCTGATGCTGTAATAGAGCTGAAAGATTCCTGTTGCCTGGTGACGTCACAGCCGTCCTGCGGCTTCCTCAGAAGAGTGCCGCCTCCTCCAGAAGAGCCTCGGGCAGGCCCGGCCGCCACAGCAGGCGGCAGCTCCAGGGGTGGCACTGCCCAGGAGGCCTTCTTGCGGGGTGAGATGTAGAGGCGGAGACGGTGGCAGTGACCCTGACCCCATGCGGCCTAAGCTAATGTGTGTGTTTGCAAAAAGGTTTTAAAAATGAAAAAAAAAGTAATAGAAAAAAGCTTGTAGAATGAGGATATGAGGGAAGAAAATATTTCTGTACAGCTAGGACTTCCGGCCAAGATGGAGCCGTAGGCAGTCACACTGTGCCGCCTCCTCACACAATCAAAAGGAGGACAACAAAAATTTAGAAACAACAACAAAAATCACCCAGAATTGGCAGAAAATTGAACTGTATGGAAGTCCAACAACCAAGGAGTTAAAGTAGACACATTCATCCAGACCGGTAGGAGAGGTGGAGTCAGGCGGCCGGGCGGAGCGGACTCGCAGCGAAGCGGCAGCGGGTGGAGCCAGCGAGGTGGCAGATTGTGGAGGGGTGCGGTGCATAAGGTGGCCCCCGGGCCAGGCGGTCCCACATTCATGTGCAGATAAACCAGGAGAAACTGGGAAGCTAGACAGACGGCGCAACCCAGGGCTCCAGCGTGGGGAAATAAAGCCTCAAAACACCAATTGAAAACACCTGTGGGGGTTGAGGTGCCAGGAGAGACCCCCAGCCTCACAGGAGAGTTTGTTGGAGAGACCCACAGGGTCCTGGAACGTGCACAAACCCACCCACCCGGGAATCAGCACCAGAAGAGCCCAGTTTGCTTGGGGGAAGCAGCGTAAGGGACTGAAATCCAGCAGAGAGCGGAGCAAGCACCATTGTTCCCTCGGACCTGGCCCCACATACAGCGTCACAACCCAGCCACTGGTTTGACCCGCCCTGGTGGACACCCAAGTCTCTGCCCCTCATACATAACAGGTGCATCAAGACAAAAAAAAAAAAATGGCCCAAATGAAAGAACAGATCAAAGCTCCAGAAAAAATACAACTAAGCAACAAAGAGATAGCCAGCCTATCAGATGCACAGTTCAAAACACTGGTGATCAGGATGCTCACAGAATTGGTTGAATTTGGTCACAAATTAGATGAACAAATGAAGGCTGTGCTGAGTGAAATAAAGGAAAATGTACAGCGAACCAGTAGTGATGGCAAGGAAACTGGGACTCAGATAATTGGAGTGGACCAGAAGGAAGGAAGAAACATTCAATCAGAAAAGAATGAAGAAACAAGAATTTTTTAAAAATGAGAGGCTTAGGAACCTCCAGGACATCTTTAAATGTTCCAACATCCAAATTATAGGGGTACCAGAAGGAGAAGAGGAAGAGCAACAAGTGGAAAAGTTATTTGAACAAATAATAAAAGAGAACGTTCCCATTCTGGCAAAGGAAATAGACTTCCAAGAAGTCCAGGAAGCTCAGAGTCTCAAAGAACTTGGACCCAAGGAGGAACACACCAAGGCACATCAGAATTATATTAGCTAAGATTAAAGATAAGGAGAGAATCTTAAAAGCAGGAAGACAAAAGAGAACTACCTACAAAGGAGTCCCATCAGACTGTCAGCTGATTTCTCAAGAGACCTTACAAGCAAGAAGGGGCTGGAAAGATGTATTCCAAGTCTTGAAAGGCAAGGACCTACATCCAAGACTGCTCTATCCAGCAAAGCTTTCATTTAGAATGGAAGGGCAGATAAAGTGCTTCTCAGATAAGGTCAAGTTAAACAACATCACCAAGCCCTTATTATATGAAATGTTAAAGGGATTTATATAAGAAAAAGATAAAAACATGTACAGTAAAGTGACAGCAAACTCACAATTATTAACAATCACACCTAAAACAAAACCAAAAACTAAGCAAGCAACTAGAACAGGAACAGAACCCCAGAAATGGAGATCACATGGAGGGTTAGCAACAGGGAAGTGGCAGGAGGAGAGAGGGGGAACAGATATAGAGAACAAGTAGCATAGACAATAGGTAGAAAATAGACAGGGGGAGGGCAAGAATAGTGTGGGAAATGTAGAAGCCAAAGAACTTATGACACATGGACATGAACTAAAGGGGGGGAGTGTGGGTGGGAGGGGCTGTGCAGGGTGGAGGGGAGTGAAGGGAGGAGACAGGACAACTGTAATAGCCATAATCAATAAAATATATTAAAAATAAAATCACTAAAAATATATATTTCTGTACAGCCATATAATGTTTTCGTTTTCAGCTAAGTGTTATTACAAGAGCCGAGTTAAAAATGTTTAACCCTGGCTAGGTGGCTCAATTAATTGGACCCCTGTCCCGTACACCAAAGGTTGTGGGTTCGATTCCTGGTCAAGGCACCTGCAGGAGGCAGCGGATAGGTGTTTCTCTCACATCAGTGTTGCTGTCTCTCTCTCAAATCAATTAAAAACATACATTCAGGTGGGAATTTTTTTTTAAATTAAGTCTATGAAGTAAAAAAGTTACAGTAAGCTATGATTGATTTATTGGAGAAAGACAAGCACGTTTTATAAACTCGTGTTGCCTAAGTGTGCAGTGGTTACAGGGTCTCCGGTCGTGTTCAGCATCATCCGAGGCCTTCACACTTTCTCCCCACGCAACCCCTGACTCCATCCGTGGGAAACGCCCCCTACAGGGCCCTCTATCACGGTTGTGCCCCTTTTCTGTGCCTTCTCTGTGTCCAGACGCGCCAGCGCCGCCCGTCGGGTCAGCTGCCCGCAGTGCGCTGTGTCTCAGTGCCTCCGTGCTGCTCGCGCACGCTGGAATTGCCTGACCGCACGCTTCTCAGCACGGATCCCCGTCTCGAAGCCGTGCGTGGCAGTAAGGCCTCTTTCAAAGGCAGAAATCTTCAAAGCACGGGACTGAGTTTGCAGACGAGTAAAAATGGTTCTTGTGGCTGAAAAGATACGAAACCTCTGGGCCTGCTGGCAGGGAGCCATGGTGAAGTGGCAGCTTTGCTCCGCTGAGCCAGAGAGGGCTGTTTGCACATCTGGCTCCGGAAAGAGCGAGGTGTGAGGTTTCTGAGCCAGTAAATGGGTCTCATGTGAGCCACTGCGATCCGTGCCCTCACCCCCCATGGCGTCTGCACCCCCTTGTCCCACTTCCCCTTCCTGTGTGGATGGGGGTGGCACAGGTGGCACTGGGTGTGACCTCCCCTGTCTTCTCGCCCCCCCTCACACAGGGGAGCAGTGGAGCTTTCAGCCCTTTGAAGAAGAAGAAGCTGAGGACCGAGAATGACTTTGTGAAATTTGATACGCCCTTCCTACCAAAGCCCCTGTTCTTCAGGAAAGCTAAGAGCAGCCCAGCCACCTCTGTGACCCCTGCTATGCAGGTAAGCGCTGAGACCACTCCAGAGGGGCTGTGTGGGGCTGTGGGGGGGGGGGGTGCTGCACTCAGCATGCGGCTTTGCCTGTGCTGCTGTCCACGGTGCACAGGCTCCGGTTTGGGGAGCCCGGGTCTGGGTGCAGGCTGTGCCAGGGTTTCAGGGGGCCCGCATTGGCTCTGGGGCTGGCCCAGAGGGTCTGGTCAGGGGTGCCTCGGAACTCACGGGAAGAGGGGAGATCTAGAGAAACAGGCAGTGAAGCGGGTGGCAGGGAGCCGCAGAGAGCCCCGGGTTTACAGATCAGATGTGATGGAACTGGAAAAGCTGGTGTTCAGGGAGACGGGTGGACTCTCGGTGGGCACGTTATTCAGCTGGCCGGCGATCTGGGAAGACGGCGGGTGTGTGTGCCCTAACAGACCGTCTCACGGTTCCTCTCACGGCAGCCTTTTTCACGGGGAAAAGTGTGGGTAAGGAATTTGGAACTCAGGGAAGACGTTGCTCAGACAAAGCCACAGTCGGGCAGTTTCCCTGACGTCCTTTCACCCACTGACGCGTGGTTTTCTGTCTGTGTCCTGCGTGCTGCGTCCTGCGTCCTGTGTCCTGGACAGCCGACCGTCCCCCCTGGAACACAGCGGCTCAGATGCCGCCCTGACTGCGCACGGCCTCCTCCAGGGCACAACGGTCCATCGCCAGCCGTCTCCCGGAGTCCGGCTTCCGGTTCCTGAAACAATAGCTTTTCACATGCACCCGCTACTAGGCTTCTTAACTATTACCTAAAACGAAAATTTTCCAACTCCTGAGTCCCCCATCAGAGGAGCCTGCCAAGGACACCAGTGGGTGTTCAGGCTGGTGGAAGGAGCGGGGGGTGCAGTCCCCCAGTCACGGTGGGTGAGCGTGGGCCCTGTCCTGGGAGGCCAGGTGGGGGCCATGAAGGAAAGGGTCACCCCTGCCAAGTACCACCAAAAAGTGGGACGAGGTGCGGACCAGCGCATGCCGGAGGCTCATCGGGAGCTGCCTCCAGGGGATGGAGGTCTTGGTGGAGCCGTGGGCATAGGTCCCGGGCCGGCCCCGCTGGGGAGACAGGAGCAGGTGCTGCTTCAGCGGCCTCGAGCCAGCACAGCGCCCCCTGCCTGTGTTCGCATTGCCATACAAGATGCTCTGGGGCTGTCTGTGAGTGACTCCGGGTGTACAGGCACCAGGTTCTGCTCATAACGTGGTAATATTCAAGCAAAAATGGGGTGAAGTAGAACTAGGGGCTCACGCAGAAATGTGGGTTCCAGGAAGGAATTTGAGAAAGTGCTACATACACAAAATGGGTCAGCTTCTAGACATTTTTCAAATATGAAAGTTATTTTTTTTAATCCTCACCTGAGGACGTGCTTATTGATTTTAGAAAGAGGGGAGGGACGGAGACAGAGAGAAACATCAGTCGGTTTCCTCCCCCAGGGGCCCTGAGTGGGGAGCGAACCCAAAACCCAGGCGTGTGCCCTGAACGGGAATCGAGCCCTTGACCTTTCAGCTTATTGGGCAGTGTCCCAACCAACTGAGCCACACCAGTCAGGGCTCAGCTTGGTTAATGTCAGCGAATGGTTAGAACATTCGAGTCTGTTTGGAGCCCGGTGCGCAGAAAGTTGGGAAGCGCGGGTCCCTTGCCCACGGAAGCTCCGCCCCATCATAGGGATAATGTGACCAGGTTAACGCTGAAACTGGACACCAGAAATGGGCACTCTTTATAATTTTTCAACGGCGACCCTTCTCCTGTAACTTGGGAGGTTTCGAATGTGGCAATTTTGTCCTGCCTTCTTCCTCGGAAGGCAGAAGCTGGAGCCGGCGATGGAGCAGGTCACTGCAAAGGGGTGCTGGCACTGCCCGCCTCGCAGACCTGTCGTGTGTGATCGAGAAAACACCGCGTGCAACTCGGGCCCGGGGTGCGCGCAGCGAGGTCCCGATGAGGCACAGAGGCGGGTGGACCCGGGCCCCTGGGCTCCGTGCCGTGTGCCCCTGGAGGCTGGTGGGCACCTGTGAGTGGCCAGGAACTCCGACGGACAAGGCCCCTCGGCCGCTGCATACCTCTCCCTTACCTCTGTTACGGGCTTCTTTCTTCTGCAGCTCAACAAAACCCCGTCCAGCTCCAAGAAGGTCACCTTCGGGTTGAACAGAAACATGACTACGGGTGAGTGCGGGCTGTGCTCGCAGTCGCGGTCCGCTCCCCGGGCGGGCGGCCCTGACCTCAGCCCTGGCTGAGCCCAGCCTTCATCCAAGGGTGGGGGAGAGGAGGCAGGGGGCGAGGAGGCTGGGGGCTTGGTGTGTGGAGATTTCTGGGGCCTCTGGAAGGTGGTTACCTGGTAGGTGACGTGAACAGCCATCTTCCCACGCCCGCCTGCCTAGGATGCATTAGTTGTTCTGGCCTGAGATATAACGGTGTGTCGGCTGTAGCCGCCTCTACCTAAATTCAGAACCTCCCTGCCCAAAAGAAGGTGAAGAGAGGGATGTCTTGTTTTTCAGCTTTTAACATCGGCGTGATTCACTTGTGTTTGTTTTGTTTTATTTTTTCCAAAGGAAGCCAATGTTATTAAAAGTATGTGAGTTTAAGACCTGGCTCTGGTTAGAGACAAGTACCTGTGTGTGTGTGTGTGTGTGTGTGTGTGTGTGTGTATGCGCACACATGCGTGTGCACTCGGACACACACAGGCACAGAGGCCTCGCAGGAGAGACCTGGGCGATGCCCCGCCCTGCACGCACGCACACATACAACCCCCGCCCCAGGTCACGTCTGTATCGCTGGAGGCGGCAGGAGGAACAGATCCCAGAAGGAAAGGCCCCTCCTGCCGCTCTTCGTGAACCCTCGGTTCCACTCACTGCCCACATCCCAGAAACAGTCCTGCCCTCCAGGGGCTTCCCTCAGAGTCTGTCCAGGTGGCCCTCGGGGCTGGTTCCCTGCCCTGGAGTGAGTGCCCAAGCCCCCAGCTGGGGGGACAGCACGGAGGCGGGACAGAGAAATCACACCCAGTAACATGTGGCCTTGCTCTCGTCGGGCAGAGTTCAAGAAGACAGACAAGAGCATCTTGGTCAGTCCCACGGGTGCCTCCCGAGTGGCCTTCAACCCTGAGCAGAGGCCCCTCCACGGAGTGCTGAAGACCCCCACCAGCTCCCCCGCCAGCACCCCCCTGGGGCCCAAGAAGCCGCTGACCCCCACACCAAAGAGAAGGCCGACGGCCATGGACTTCTTCTAGGAGAGGAGCAGAGTCTTATTTGTAAGGACCGCTTTTGTACAGAATGCTCTACAAGTTGTAACTTTATAGGTGGGGTGTTTCCTATTGCTCTGTGAGTTGTGTGTCCGAGGGTCTGGGCGTGAGCCGTGCTGCTGCTGCTGCTGCTGCTGCGGGTGTCCTGGCTGGAGCTTCCGCTACAAACATCCTTCCTGCTGCAGCTCGCCGGGACCCCACGTTTGTGGGTCCTTCGGTGCCTCCACGGGCGTGGGAGCCGAGAGCGTGGTGGTGGCCGTCACCGCGGGCAGGCGCCGTGGGCACGGGGACAGCCAGAGTTGGACTGAATCCGCGGTGCAGTCGTCTCTCCAGCCGGGCTCAGCTGGAGGTGGACCTGCGAGCGGGGGCGGGGAGCAGCGCCCTGCGGCCGGCCGAGTCCTTCCCTGTGATCCTACCTCTCAGCCGACCCAAAGTGTCCTCACTGGCGGGGGGCAGCGCCGCCCGCTCGCCTGCCCAGGTCCCCGTGCTCCGGCTGCTCTGTGTACGGGAGTGTCCGCGCCAGCCTCCGCAATGCCTGGCGCCCACGGAGCGGCTTTTCGTCTTAAAGGAGAACCCAGCTCTCCAGGGAGGTGGCGGCAGCGTCTGAAGAGCCCGGCCCCCGCTGGAAGGCGGGCAGCGCAGTCTTCAGAACAGCGTGTGCATATTTATTTGTTCGTTGCTACCTTGTATCTGAAATACTGAGTCTTGCACTTACAGGTTTTTATAAAGTCTAATTTTAGTTAATCACAAAAAATCGGGGCCAGGGAAGGCACACAGACCTGAACTGGGGAGACAAATGAACTTGGAGCAGCCTCGCTGCTGATCCCTGACCTTGTTTAGAGCAGCTGGGCCTGCCCTGAGCCTGGGTGAGGGACGGGGTGCAGACTCCGAAGTCGGGTGGTCGCCCGCCTCGGGAAAGTGCCTGGTCCCTGGCTCCCTCTCAGGTTCGCACTCTGACAGTGCAAACCTACAGGAGGAGTCATAATGGAGGGACACCGTTTTCCCTCTGGTGCCCAGCGCTTCCCGGCCTGCTCTCTGCTCCTGGGTCTCAGGCCTCCTGGGAGTCAAAGTCCCCCGCCTCCCAAGCCAGAGCCCCAGTTGCTTACCAAAGCCGGGGCCAGCCCCCTTTGCTACTCCCCAGCCCAGGGCCCCAGCGCGCCCTCAGTGGCTCAGGCCGTGGCTTCCGGTGAAGGGCGGCCGTCTGAGATTACATCATCCAGCCGCCCGGTTCCCGTGACCACAGAACCAGGGTGGGCTTCAGCTGCACACCGGAGGTGGGCGGGCTTGCCCGCGAAGGCCCTGCTGCAGAGGAAAGGGAACTGTCCCTCGCCTGCTCTGTAACAAAGTGTCGGCGCGTCTCTGTAATGAAGAGTCTCGTGTAGGAAATGTACCTGTTGCAGCTGCGTGGCCCTGGTGTGCTGCGTTGGCTGTCGCACCCGACACTCCATCGGGACCAGAACTGGAGTGTGAAAAGATAAGATTTGAGTGGTCCGATATTTTTAACTTAAAAAAAGAATTCATTATCCTTGGTCACATTATTTTTCTAACAACTTCTATTTTAGCTTCAAAGATAGGTCTTAGAGCCAAATGGACTGCATAACCCGACGGCGCTGAGCCATCTTAGCAAGACGGTCCAGCCCACAGAGGGCGCATGTGTTCTCGGGACGCCTGTGGGGCCCTCCCCCGTGGCTGCTGCCCGCCCCCTGCCCCCTGTCTCTGAGGCGTCGGGATGCGGGCTGCCCACCCGTGGGCGTGGGCCCGGAGGCCGCGTGTCCGGGGTCGCATCCGCCCTTCTCCAAATCCGCCCTCACTCCACTTTGTGGGTAAGTCCCGTGGCTTGATGTGACTTACTTTTAATCTCTGTACATTTTGGCTACAAAGGAAAAAGAAATTTTTAAAAAATCCTCATTCCCTATACACACAGAAGAACGCGTCACATAAAGAAACTATTTAGAGTAACGGTTTTCTGCCTGGTGCCTGTCGTTTTCCTGGGTGAAATGGCCGAGCGGACCTGGCGGTCCGAAGCAGGAAGGGACTGAAGTCACTGGGCGCCGCTGGTCTGCGCGGTAGTTTGTGAAACAGCCTGTGGGGTCTGGTGTCACGCGTTACAGTGCGTCGTCCTCTCTGACCTGTCCTGAACTGAAAGCACAAGGCGGGTGTAAAGCCGTTGTTGGTGTGGGGGGGAGATTATGAAATTGAGTCCATCTTTTGATTTTTGTACATTTTCTCTGAATTTCCCCGACCGCTGGCAAGCCCCGTTCGTTTACAACCAGTCTGCCGTCGTGTCCGTGGGGCTTGTCAGTGCTCGGCAAAGCCAAGTTCAATAAAGAGAAACCTGTCTGCCCTCAGATGAACGCTGGATGTTGACTGTCAGCGGGCGCCGCCCCGGGGACGACAGCACGGCAGGAGGGGCTGGTCAGCAGGGCCCTCTCTCTCCCCCCTCTCTCTCCCCCTCTCTCTCTCTCTCCCTCTCTCTCTCCCCCCCCCTCCCTCCCTCCCTCTCTCTCTCCCTCTCTCTCTCTCTCTCCCCCTCCCTCCCTCCCTCTCTCTCCCTCTCTCTCTCTCTCCCTCTCTCTCTCCCTGTCTCTCTCTCTCTCTCTCTCTCTCTCTCTCTCTCTCTCTCTCTCTCTCTCTCTCTCTCTCGGGTGCCCCCCCGCAGGGCCAGCCAGGGGTTGCCGGGGCCGTCTCCTGAGACAGGGAGGCAGGCGCTCGCTGCCAGCCCTCGGCCTGTGAGGACGAGCACAGAGCAGCCGCCGTCCTGGGTGGACTCCCCCGCGCATCCCACAGGTGCGGCCGCCACCAGGTGTCGAGGGCACAGCCGGAACACTAAGGTCCCTGTGAGGCCTGCCCCGGCCATCATATGCCCTGCACCCCTGCGGTGCACCTGTACGCACCTGCCCCTCAGGTTTCAGTCTCGCATGTGGCTCCAGCGTCAGCTGAGGGTCCCACTCCACGCCTGTGGGCACCAGAGCACCCCCCGAGGTGAGTGTGAAGTCCCACAAGGGTGTCTGTCATTGGGGACCCCACTCTTGATTGTCTCCTCCGCCTGGCTCTTGTTCTCCGTCCCTTCCCCCCGACAGGGGCACAGGGTCTCCACCAGAACCTTCCTCCTAGGGTTAGGGAGCAGGGTTAGGTCAGAGGTTACGTCACCCTCCCTCCACAAGCCTAAGATAACACCTGAAATGGCATTTTTCGGGGTGACCGTCACCGAGATTTCTCACCACGTATGCGTGCACCCGCAGTTCTGAGCCCTCGGCGGTCAGCCGGCCCCCGCTCCCCCACCAGCGTGGGCGCCGCCGTCCGGAACCAGAGGCACAGCCCCCGTGGCCCTCAGCCGCCTGCCCCCCTCTTTCCACACTGGCTCACAGGGCGCTCAGCGGAGAACAGCGTGGCAGGTGACAGGAGCCACCCTCCCGAGAAGACGGGTTGCCAGGGGCTGCTTCTCCCCGTGGACCCCCACAGTGTGTCCTCGACACCCCTCGGCAGACGCTGCGCACCTGCCGCGCCCGGCGCTGTCCGGGATGGCACGCCACAGACAAAAGCCGTGCCCGGCCTGGGGGGGGACAAGCAGGTCGGAGTGTGCTGGCCAGCAGGGGACAGGAGCCCCGGGTGGGAGTGTAGAACCAGGGGGGACGCGTTGGCGCGAGTCTTTACTGAGCTTCAGGGACAAGGAAGCATATACACAAGCAGTTGCTGGTTCTATTACGTTTTGGAAAGAATATTACATGGAATCCATATTCTTATGTTTTTTAAAATACTTTTATTAGTTGATTTCAGAAAGAGAGAAACATCGAATTGTTGTTCCACCTACTGATGCATTTCCCTCATTGGTTGATTCTTGGGTGTGCTCTGCCCGGGGATCAAACCTGCCACCTTGGCGTATCAGGACGATGCTCCAACCACGTGTGCTCCCCGGCCAGGGCTTATGCTCTCCTCCTAACTAATCTGACTGCTGGCCAGGGCCGATTGTTTTCAAGAAGACAGACACCAAAAGAGGTTAAGAAGTCAGCCCTGTGGGTATCTGGAGGGAGGATTGCACACAGAAGGAACCGTAGGCACCCCTGGGTGGCGGCGTGAGGAGGTCGGGGGATCTAGGTGTCCCCAGGATCTGATGTGCTGGTCGGAATTAGCAAAGACAGTCATTCGGAGTCTCGAGAGAGCTATCAAAAGGCTGCAACAGACTAAGCAACATTCATTCCTTCCATTAAGTCTACAGAGGCTGAGTCAGACCAGTGAGAGGCTGTGATGTGGCTTTGCAGCGGGCTGCACCCACGCCCCCGCAGTTCTCCCTTGCAGAGCTGCTTCCGTGGGCTCGGCAGCCGAGCGGCAGCTCCGCACCCCGCAGCTCCCTGGGGTGGAAGAGCTGTTCCACAGAGACCCAAAAGCCAAAGAGAAACATTCACAGTCAAGCTCCCATCGCTACGGAGGGAGTGCAGGCAGGCAGGCAGGGCCCCGAGGCCAGGGCAGGGCTGTGGAGGACACACCTTCCGAATCTCAGACTGGGGGACTCTGCAACTCAGAGCAAAAGCCCGAGTCTCTCTCCATTCTCTCGGAGGTGACGGAGCTTCTCCGAGGGAACGTGGGGGGGGGGGGGCCTTCTCTTCTGCCAGGCCCTGTGATTTGCAGATGGCCTCACAGCTTCCCAGAAGGGAAGTTTGATGACTCCCTGTCCACAGCTGAGGGAACCAGGCTTGGAGAAGCCAGGCCTTTGCCCCATGGCACGTAGGTGCCTGAGCAGGAGTCTGGTCCCAGCTCTCTGGGTTTGCAGAGGCCAGGGTCTGACCTACTCCTACCCCTACACCAACCCCTGGTTCCCCTGGGCAGTGGGTTAGCCTCTCCAAGTTTGCCCCCTGGCCAGCACCTCCAGAGCTGGTGAGGGATGCAGAATCTCAGCCTCCCCACCCCTAGAGCCACCGAGTCGGCACCTGCATGTCAGCAGCCTGCACCCACTGGTCCATGGCCCGCAGCCATCCGCAGGGGCCCTCCACACGGAACAGCCCTCGGTTAGTATTTGCTGCATTGAATTCCCTCCGGTTGGAAAACCACACAACCGAAGGGGTTCCCTTTGCAGGACACCCCTGACGTCCATGCTAGACAGATGCCTGCCAGACCTCGTGGCCTCAGCCTCAGCCTTTCTGAGGCTCTCCTGCAGGAGAGCATGCACAGAATGCAGACCCCCACGGACCGTGGCCTCGAGTGGACTGCTGTGGTGCACCTGGCCTGCGTGTTCTTTTCCACTGAACCGTCCCAGAGTCACTCACGAACGTGACATTCTGTTCCCAAACATTCGGGCCAGCATCACCAAAGAGCGACCTCTGTAAGCACTTCATCGTGTTACTGGACAGGGGCCCGGCCCTGAGCGGGCCTGCCTAGGGCCAGCAGTAGCGTGTAAGTTCCTGACGTTGTGTAGGAGAGATTCACAGCATGGGTCCGGGTGGTCTGGGGAGAGGGAAACAAAGGAAGGACTTAGGGAAGAAGCAGCAGCAGGAGAGAGAGAGAGAGAGAGAGCAGTCCTGAGCGGTACCCTGCTGTGGCTCCCTGGAAACGTTACGGGAAAGGACTGAGCCGAGGCGGGGCTGCAGTCAGCTCACCGGGAAGTCAGGGAAAAGGGGGCCTGGGGGCGGGATCGGGGGGAAGCCTGCGTCCAGCTGCCGCTGCCCACCGCTTCCCCTGCTGCAGGCCTCCTTGGGACCCTTCGAGTTGAGGAGGAAATGAAGAGCTGGTGGCCGGGAAGGGACGGGGAGTGCCCTGGCGCATGAGCCTGCACCGTGTCTTTGTCCTGAGGGCTTTTTAGCTTTTTCTGCAGGTGAGACTCTTAGGGGGGCGGGTTTCAGCAGGATATTTTTCCAGGTGCATTTTTAATATGCTGATGCATCGAAGTGAGCTCATGGGGCAGGGGGACTATTCTTTGGGGTGCTTTTTACTTGCATCTTGGGTCTGTCTGGCTTTTAACGGGGTTTTTGTGATTCGTTCCCTGTAGGGAACTGTTTCGAATGGCATGGAAGTGTGGCTCAGCACTCACATGGGAAACCAGTGGGGAGCCAGTGGCACGCAGGACCACGCCCACGGAGAGGTTTTCCCGTGGGGAATCAGGCCTGCATTGTACCTAGGCCTCTATGAGACTTGCTTCTGCTAAAACTCCCTCACCCTGAATTGAGGCAGCAAGTGCTTACTGTAACTCCCTAAAGTCTGTGCTAAACCTCCCCAGCATGGAGTGTGACCGGTTCAACCACTTTCCCCCCTGATCTGCAACATCCTTCTCTTTGAAATAATTAGCAACATTCTTTCCTTTGTTATCTGCAAAAGGCAGTCCCCTGCAGCGACCCTGTGCATAGTAAATGAGGACTACCCTTCATGTAATGTACCCAGAAAAACAATTAAAGCCTGTGCAGGCAGGGACTGGGCTCTCTGGCCCTCTCACTGCAACCCCCCTCCCCCAAGAGTGGCCATGCCGTCCCTTTTTCTCCACAGGACTTCTGTAGTCCGTGTGTATTTGTTCACGAGCAGACACAACATACACGCATCCTGCCAGCCAGGATCCGCCACAGTTCCCCTGACTTCACCTGTCCTTGGTTTAGCTGGCCCAAACGACATGAACTGGGTCTCTGTTCTCTATCTCCCAGACCAGGGAGATTTAAGCCATGTATCCTCTGGTCAGAGAGGAAAGATATAAACCATTTGTTCTCGAGTGTCCTTGGCTAGAGGAGAGGAGCTCTTGTGATTTACCGGCTGGCTGTAAGCTGCTCCGACTGTTTGGCCTTGTTTAATTTTCTTGTCTCGCTTTCCGCATTCCACCTGCCCAGGAATTTCCCTAGCTTCTCACTAGCCTATCACAATCCATGTCACGGAATCTGACACTCCCTCCACAAGTTCATGTTCAGATTTCCCCCAGCTGTCCCCAGACATTTTTCTTGGCCAGAAAGGAACCAAGATGACACGCTGCAATTGCTTACCATGACTAAAGTTTCTCCTACTCTAGAACCTCCCTTACTTTGTCTCATGACATTGCATTTTTGAAGAGTGTGTCTAACCTGGACCCTACAGCCCACAGGTGGGCTGTGAGCACCCTGGGGATGGTCCAGCAGGGGTCGTGACCTTTCCCCTTGGCCACGGGGACCACAGTACAGGAGCACTGGCAGACGGACCCCGGCCGTGCTGAGCCAGGCCGGGCCTCAGCGATGGGCTGGTGGCCGTGACAGCTCCCACCTCGGCTTTGCAGCTTTCTCTGGAAGCTGGGACGGGGAGGGGCTCTTCCCAACTCCAGGAAGGGCAGTTCCCCTCCCAACACCGGGATCTCCTGGAGGGCGGGCTTGTTTTCCTCCAGACCTGGGCCCTGCACATCCCAGGC